TGTTTTTGTTTTCTTGGTCTGTGAAACCAAAAAGGGAAAAAGGGAAAAAAAAAAAAAAAAAAACCCGCATTTTCCACTTGAGATTAAAGATGCATGAGCAGAATTGAGCAGGGCTGCTCACCATGGAGTCAAGAGGCTTTGAAGGTGAGCTGCAAAGCTCACTACATAAATTGATAAACTGCCTCAGATCTCCGGTCAGGAGCAGAACAGGCAGGCAGCTTCAAAACTCATGAAACCTGGGGGTGCTTTGAGCTGCACCACCCCCAGCCCAGCGCCCTGGCACGTGTCAGCCCCTGGGACTGGCCGGTCCCCCGAGATGCTGCTGGGTGTGCTCTGGTCTGAGATGTCCCCACCAGGGCTCCTGTCCTGCCCTCCCGCAGGTCACCCAGCTCCTCGGAGACTGAAATGGGGGTGTGAAACGGGTCCTGGGCACGGGGACCTCCAGACCCCGAGCCTCATCCCAGTGCCCTGGCTGAGGGGCGGCAGGGACCAGCCCTGCGTGGCTGGGTGTCCCCGGAGAGCTTCCCCAGCGTCACCCCCTGCTCTCTGGAGCCGCGGCCACAGCTCAGGCCATGTGTCACGGTCACATTTATCCGTCTGTCACTCGGCAGCGCTGAGCACAGGGCGGTTTGTCCCTGCACCTTCCCCAGCGCCGCAGCCCTGGTGCGCCCCGACACCAGCAGCGCGCCTTTGCCGGGGGACAAGCCCAGGACCCGCTCTGGGCACAGCAGTGCAGGGGACGGGGCTCAAATGCGACGGCTTGTACTTCATCAACGCGTTGTCCTTCGGGTGCCTCCAGCACAGGCTCCTCCTGAGCTGCTGGTCCTTGTCCCCCCGGCAGGCTCTGCTGCCCCCCAGCTCCTGTCGGCCCCAGCACTGACCCTCTCCCCCGTGTCACGTACGGGTGCGGATGTCTACAGCCATCCTTGGAGTGAGGGGCTCCATGTTCCACCGTACCCACTCGTGCCCCCAGCACCTTCCCCTGGGCTTGGACAAGGACCCAGTTCCCGCTGCTGTGAACCAGCTCCCACCAGACTGCGGAGGTATCTTAATCTTATTAACACAAAGCAATCCATTAACTCTGATTACTGCACTTTTTGAGGAAGGGCGTTGTAATTAAAGGTGCTGGTTGTCCAGGCTGGGGCTCCCCTGCACTCCTCGGCTCGGTGGCGCCGGGGGCATGCAGGGCTCTGACCACCGAGCAGCGCTGGGGCCATGGCACCCCTGGGGCAGCAATGCTCCGGCCCCAGGCCCCCCCAAAACACTCCTCCTCCCCCAGCACTGAGCTGTTAGGCTGCGGATCAGCCCCTGCTCGCCGGGGGCAGAGCCCAGGCACCCTGCGGGGCTGGGCAGGCTCCGCAGCACCCGTCACCCCCCTGTCCCCCCAGGGACGTGGCACAACGGGGGTTGTTTATTACCTTTGAAAGGCAAGAATATGTTTCTCATCCATGTCATACTTCCAAAAATACCAGACGTGTTGCCCCGGCTTTCCTCTTGTGTGCTAATGACAGCTGAGGAGCGACATCTGTATCGTAATAGATGGGAAACAAATCCCTCCTTACCCCCAGAGAAGGCTGATTATTTTACTGGCAAGCTACATTAAAAAATGCCTTGTGACATAAAGTAACATTAATGTCAGGAAACGGCAGCGCGGTGCCTCCGGGGAGCCCCGCTCCTGTCACCCTGATTAAATTAGCGTGCGTCTTCCCCCGCATCCCGCTGCCCCATCCATATTCATGCCGGAGCCGCTCCCAGGGTGTGCTGCCAGGCCAAGGCTCTTCCTTCCTGC